GGGTTTGTTTTGCCAGCACAATACGCCGGCTGAAGCAGCTATCTCAGTGAGGCAGTTTTTGGCAAAAAATAGCATGCCTTTCTTGCCCCATGCACTCACCTGACCTCGCTCCGTGCAACATTTTGTTTCTGTGCAACTTCTTTTTTGTTTCTGTGAACATGAAAGGGATTCCAGAAAGGTCATGCACAAGAGGAAGTATTTGGTGGCCAAATCCAGGGTTGAGAAAAAGGAGCTGACTCAAGAGTCCTGATTGGCCAGGATGCCAAAGGAACCATGCAGTGGCAGCAGAAGAGACAAGCACAGAAAGCAGGTCTATCTGAGTCTTGGTCTCACAAAGTAATGCGATGGCCTCTGGGATTTCAATGGGCAGAACCCCCAAACTCACTGCCATCAAGTCAAGGCCAACTCATAGCTACCCTGATGGACTGGTGGAACTGTCTCTCAGTTTCCAAGACAAGGACAGTAGGAAGTCCCAGCTTTCTTCTGTGGAGTGCTTGGTTGTTTTAAACAGCTGACTGTGCAGTTAGCAGCCCAATGCATAACCACTATACCACCAGAGCTCCTTCAGAACCACCACAGTTGGTTGGATTTTATAAGGTAAGGCCACAGTCTCTTAGGTCTCAAGAGTTAAATCTTTACAAGCTCAGTTCCAGAGTGTGGGGCTGCCATTCACAAATGCCTGGTGGTCGCGGCCAGATCCACTGCTCCAAACTGAGGCAGTGGGATTGTTATGCTCAAGGTGATGTGCAGGAGGTCGTGCCAGGGTCAAGATTATAGAGAGTAGGGGATGGGTTCACCACTCAGATGGACTAGGAAAGTGGGGCTGCCCAAAGCCAAAGTATTTCTGTTACAGCAGTACTAGGTAACAAAGACAAACTAAATTCAAAGTCATCGAGTGAATTCTGACTCAATGACCCCATACGACAGAGGAGAACGCTGCTGTTAAGTTTCTGAGAGCACATTTTTGCAGGAGTATAAATCCTCATCTTTATACCATGGAGTGGCTAGTGGTTTCAAAATGCTCACAAGCCAATGGCTAACTCACTAATCAAGAAGAAAAGCAAAAGTACTTTGGAAAATTAGTACATTTAACTTTGCACAAAGACTAATTTCTTGGGCACTTACCTACATAACTGTTTTAAAAGATAACATTTAAAAATCATGCATGAAATTACATATAATTTGTTTGTTAGAGTGTCTACTAAACTACTTTGATGTCATAAGCAAATTAAGGCCCGAATACCCTTTAATAAAATAAGATTCACATTTCGGCAACAAACCAACCTGAGAGATGCCATAAACAATGATATTTTTAAATTAAATTTACTCTAACTACAAATACAAGGTGACAAAGAACAGTTACTAGAAATACTTATTTTATAACAATATTAGCTTTTACTTTTTATTTACTATAAACCAGGAATTCAACTAAGTTTTGTTCAGAACTATTCCCATATAATCTTCATAATACTCTTTGTGAAGAAAGTACCACTATTACTCCCACTTCAAAGCAGTGGAAACTAGGACCCATAAAGTACCCCATATAGAACATATGGTGAGCAGGGGGCAGCATTAAGTTCAAATCCTGATATGTGCTTTGAAAGTGCTTGGCCTGTATTATAAAACAGTGCTACTTCTTATGTTACAACTCTTAAATTCCACAAATATTTCAGAACTATTTGGATACTAAGAATTTTGCCACTCAAAACCATACTTTTTAGGTTACCTCCAAAATAAAAACAGAATTAAGTGTGTATTAATACCTAACAATTTCTTCTCACGGTTCTTTCAAGGTGTTAATTTTTGTTTCATCAGTTCACACAGGGATATCTTAAAAACTGTCAAACTTGAAATATCAGAGCTAAAACTTACATTCTAAACACTCTTCTAAATGTCTGGCTTGTAAAAAAACCTTGAGTGAAAAAAGTAACATAAGAAGTAGCGCTGTTTCGTAATACATTTTTACTCAACTCAGTTCCTGAGGAGCTGTGCAAAGGTAAGGATTGCGTACATTAACTCATTTAAATCTTACAACAATCCTTGTGTTATTATTTCACTTTACAAAAGAGATAACAATGAGACACCAAATTTGTAAAGTGCAAAAATGTCAGAGCTTAGATTCAAATATCCTAATTTTAATATAACTTTTAAAGTCATCAAAATAATTTAATAAACTTGTTATTAGAAACTTTTCTTCTTAACACTTTGCTTACTGGCTATTTCAAGTGAAGATTATCTATCTTGTGCAGCCTGCAGGGGATCCAAAAAGGCCTATATTACTATGGGCTTACAAATTGCATAAACTAATGTAACAGCAAACAAGAGTTACCTTGTGGAACTCTTTCTTGTTCATAAAATTGGTCAGCAATTGGTCATGAAAACACTGAGTATACTCATGACAAGCCAATATTAAAATATGAAAATATTTTATCAATAAAAATTAAAAGATTGAGTTCTAATATAAACTTAGAGTATATTTCAAAGAATAGGTCTCCAATACATTTCGATACTCAATTTGGTCATGTTTGCCAGTGCGTTGTTAGACATTAGCGTGTATTTTGAAGGCTTATTTCCAAACGAAAGCCAAACCACTGCCAGAGTTAATTCCAACCAATAGCCACCCAAACGAAATCAAAACAAAAACACCTTTGAAGTGTCATGTTTTGTATAAAAGTAAACACTAAGAACAGTTCTTAAAATAAAATTACCAGGAAAAATAAAAACAAGTAACAAAAACCTCAAAATAAAACAGAAAAACCTTAAAAAAAATAATAGCATTACCAGGTAATAATCTAATTTTTAAGATCTGTGAGTCTTCTTTTAAACTTGGTAGAACAACCTTCAGATTGAAATTCTGTTGAAAAAGAAATATTTTAATTAAAATCAAGTTCTAAGTACTGTAGTTTATCACCTCAATTATGATGTCTTTTTTATTTTCAGGCCATTAGAGATGTATACCCAGCAATTTCACATTAAAATCACACATGTATATAAGATTCAGGTGGAAATGGATTTACACCTTAAGGAAAAATCTTTTCAAATTCTAGAGTAATAACTTCTGAATACCATATATCCTCGTGTGCAAGTTGAATTTTTTCAGCACATTTTTTTTAACTCATTTTATTGGGGGATTGTACAACTCATCACAATCCATACATACATCCATTGTGTTAAGCACATTTGTACATTTGTTGCCATCATCATTCTCAAACTATTTTCTTTCTACTTGAGCCCTTGGTATCAGCTCATTTTTGCCCTCCCTCACAAACCCTTGATCATTTATAACTGTCTGTCTAACACTGTCCAATAACTTTTCTGTTGTCCATCCCAGAGGAGATCCTTGTGATCGGTTCCCCCTTCCTACCCCACCTTCCCTCGCCTTCCCAGTATCGCCACTCTCAGCACTGGTTCTGAGGAGTTCATCTGTCTTGGATTCCCTGTGTTTCCAGTTCCTATCTGTACCAGTGTACATCCTCTGATCGAGCCAGACTTTTAAGTTAGAACTGGGATGATAATAGCGGAGGGGAGGAAGCATTCAAGAACTAGAGGAAAGTCGTATGTTTCATCATTGCTAAACTGCACGCTGACTGGCTCGTCTCCTCCCCACAACCCTTCTGTAAGGGGATGTCCAGTTGCCTACAGATGGGCGTTGGGTCCCCAATCTGCACTCCCTGTCATTCACAATTATATGGTTTTTTTCTTCTTTGATGCCCAATACCTGATCCCTTAGACACCTCGTGATGAAACAGGCTGGTGTGCTACTTCCATGAGGGCTTTGTTGCTTCTCAGCTAGATGGCCGCTTGTTTACCTTCAAGACTTTAAGACCCCAGATGCTATGTCTTTTGATAGCCAGGCATCATCAGCTTTCTTCAGATTTGCTTACGCACCCATCTGTCTTCAGCGATCATAACAGGAAGGTGAGCACACAATGATATAATTTTTTGTTCTTTGATGTCTAATACCTGATGTCTTCGACACCTGGTGATCACACAGACTAGTGTGCTTCTTCCACATGGGGTTTGTTGCTTCTGAGCTAGATGGCTGCTTATTTACCTTCAAGCCTTTAAGACCCCAGATGCTTCATCTTTTGATAGCCAGGCACCATCAGCTTTCTTCACCACATTTGCTTATGCATCCACTTTGTCTTCAACGATCATGTCAGGAAGGTGAGCATCAGGAAATGCCAATTTAATAGAACAAAGTATTCTTGCATTGAGGGAGTACTTGAAGGAGTACTTAAGTGGAGGCCCAATGTCCATCTGCTACCTTAATACTAAACCTATAAATATATGTACATAGATCTATTTCCCCATCATCATATATAAATATATTTACATATGCACATGCCTGTATTTAGACCTCATAAATACCCTTTGCCTCCTAGTTCTTT